ATAATTTTGTCCGTCACTTGGCAACGATGAAAAACTGTTTGTTTGCGTCTCTCGATTCGAAGCGACAGCGCCATCTAGATGGCAGGGCAATTAGAGGCATCGGCGGTATAATTCGATTAAAAAATCCGGTGGGGCAATTAAACGCACAGCGTAGACCGATGGACATGCAAATCGACATCCCACCGATGCTTTTTGCTAGGCTGCCGTCGTATTACCCAATTAGACGAATCATCATTAACAGAATCAGTGGCCTATACAGTGTCATTCATAAAGTTGCTAACAAAACACAAAAGCATGCCTTTTCTCTAGAAAAGCCGATCTCACTGCGTGCCCATCATGAGCTTTTCAGGAGTAACCGTATTCCTTTGAAGACATCCATTTCGATGCTTGGGATTACTATCAGCAATGACCTTTCTTGGGAGAATCACGTGAGATCAACTGCTGAAAGTGCATCCCAAAATCTTGGTTCTCTGTTTCGGGCCAGGACCTATTCCACTTCCAGTCAGCTGCTAATGATCTATAAGGCACAGATCCGACCTGTCCTGGAATACTGTTCCCATATTTAGAGTGCAGCACCCAAACATGCCCTGAAACTGTTGGATTCTGTCCACAAAAGGGAAATTCGTCTCGTGGGTGATGCCTCGCTCACAAACTGACTCACTTCTCTGGAACACCGTAAACAAGTTGGCGATCTGGCATTATTTTGTAGATATTTTCATGGACGATGCTCTTCTGAAATATCGAAAATTGTTCCTTCCTTGGCAGTCCCAGCGAGATTAACCCGTCGAGTTGAGGCTTCGCACCCCTTCGTGGTCACTTTGGAGACCTGCAGAACATCTCTTTCCAAAGACTCGTTCATCCAACGAACAGCGAGGCTCTGGAACTCATTGCCAAGGGAGGTGTTCCCTGAGGCATATAACCTCCAGAAATTTGGAAAGAACACCAATTCCCACCTCATTTTGCTTGGTTCTCACGATGTTCTCTGAACATTACAGGATATCCTTTTTCGTGAGAACCAGAACTAAGAAAAAGATGGGAAATGGCCTACTCGGTCGGAGTCACGTGATTTCCTCTACATGTCAAAAGTTGTTTTTCTTTTCAAATTATTCGCTGAAATAGGCTTATTTATTCGAATTTCCAAAAATATTTTCAAGAAGTACGAATGCCTATGGAATAGCATTACTCAAACTCGTGTTCATATCAAGATCTTTAATTACTTATAAATAAATTTTTCCAAATCAGAACATCCAGTACAGTGTGGTTTTGATCAGGTCAGCAAAGTTCATAGTCTCCACTTCCTGTAGAATCTGCAAAAACCGCTTACCGTGCGGTAATACCTAGGTGAGCAATATCGAAAGGTAACGGCCATTCTCATTGCGGAAAATTGCAAACCTAGCATAGATTCTGAATATAAATAGTACCCGGTATCATTATTATTAATACAAGTCATTAGTAATCATCAATTGAAAATGTTCGATGTCTCCCCGACTTCTATCCTGCTGGTCAACCCCATCAGGCTAGACGTTGTAATGTATGTACATACAGTTATTTTTCTTTGAAGGATTTATCGACGACTTTTCCATTTGATCAATAAATGTAAAATTTTATATAAAAACAGATAGAATTCAATGTTCGACGTGGCAAATAGCCAGGAAAGTAGTTGTTTCCTGTTTAATAGACCGAGAAAGAATTGATATTTTCTTCACATGGGGAATAGGAAGTCTCAATGTATATATCTCTTCATAAATATATCCATTTTTTTATGATCATAATAATTATATCTGAGAATATTCCTTTTCAATAGCTACAGATGTTCGTTCATGCATCAACGAGGATGTTTTTTGGTCTATACTCACAATTTTGAATATTCTGATGTTGCCAATTTTTCGTTTTCTTAATTGCCATCAATCACAATAAGAATGCCATCATTTGTTTATATCAGTCTGATCGAAATTAATCACATCAAGTTCATTCTTGGAAGCTGATTATAGAGATTATATGGAGGTACATACCATAATTGCCATTATAATAATATATTATGTCTAATTGGACCACCAGTCATTTTGGAACACAATGGCCATATACACAAATTATCCAATTGAGTACAATAATTGAACTGGTTGGATGCTTGTTTTGATTAATGTAAGTATATAGAGGGAGCATGACATCAGAAACTTATTGTGATATCAACCATTTTTAATTGTTACTATCACTGTCAGGTTAATTGAAAGAACATGTATCTATGATTTGATTCTTCTTCTTTTTTTCTTCTTCTCCTTCTTCTTCTTCTTCTTCTTCTCTGCACAGGTGGGCGGGTGCGTAGACCCCTGCACTCAGACCTCTTCAGTCGGGCCCATTGTGCGCCCACTTGTCCTGTGAATCAGCTGGGCATGCCGATTTCTTTGACGAAATTCAGCAGCTTCCTCAGCTGAGTCGCTTTCACATCCTTTGGGTGCAGTACAATGCTCCCAAAGGTAGCTTTCCTCTGATGCACAAGCGCGGGGCATTCAGTGAGCATGTGTGATGATGTTTTTGATCATCCTCCAAGCACCATCTGCAGATGGGATCATCTTTGATCCCTTTGAGTTCTAGGTGCCTGTTGAGGTGGTTTGTGCCCAGTTAAGAGCCCAACTACCATCTTGAGATCCCTTCTATTAAGTGACAGGATCTCTCTCGTGAGCCTTTTTGAAGGTTCCTTTGTATGGAGCTTCGATTGTCTCATTCCTGGTGTGTCCCGCCATGTTTCAAGGAACTGCCTCTGTAGCATAAGGACATGACCGTACTATTGGGTATTCCTAATATCGGTTCTGGTCCAATGGGTGTCGTTCCTGAACCGATCTTGGCTAGTCTGTCTGCCTCCTCGTTCCTCGGGAGGCTGACTTTCCTAGTTTTTGCCATATTTTCTGAGGCACTTCTACAGTCGGACACCAATTTGATTGTAATCCTATTGGATCTCAATGCCATAATAGCAGCTTTGCTGTCCGAGCATATTATGGTGACTGGTCCACGTCCACTTCTGCCGAAATTTTTTTGGACACACGTCAGAATTGCAAACACTTTGGTCTGGAACTCTGAAGCGTATTTGCCAAGAGGTACTGAGATTCCTTTCCCTGTTCCTCCTTCATATACTCCTGCACCAGACCCGCCACCAAACCTTGAGCCATCCGTGAACCAGGTTGATTCGTTGGCAGGAAGCAAACCTGGTGTATTGCCAGTCCATTCCTCTCTTGTAGGAAAAATGACATGATTTAATTCTTCTTCATGTTTTTGTAGTCAAACGTCTTGAATCTCCTGAATAATTTTTTTTAAACATCGCCTGTATATCTATCTATATGATGTTATACATACATGTATACGTAAGATCATTTTGTTCAAATTAGCTTGTTAGGTAATTGAATGATTATTTGATAATTATAAATAACGAGGTGAAATTATTGATAAACATATAAATTATGCGTCGGACTGATTAAGAAGTTACTGTATATCGCTGACAGTGTACACTTTGCAATTTCCTCAGATATTAAGGCGTTCTTGCTAATTTTTTTCAGTGTCCGAATATGGTATACTTATTCATTTATCTGCACGCGGTGAATAAAAATCTGGTAAATGAACATTGACATTGCGTGCCACACCACTTCCAGAAGTTTATGAAGATGTAGCATGCAATTTTGCTCGAGTATAGTGATTACTTAGTAAAATTTAAGAAAAAATGGTGATACTTAGTTAGTGCGAAGGCATGCACATCCGCAGTTTCTAATTTTTTTTCTTTGTATAAAATGACCGACATTTATGGCATTTCCATAACTGGTTTGCTTTACTGACATGATTTGCTCACATTGTTACACTCATAATAGCATTTACACGGGACAAGATAGGGCACATGTTTATATGAACTTTATTTCCTAGAATATCACAAGGAATCAATCTTTGATTTTTTTAAGTGTTATTCAGATACACCCTGAATATAGGTACAGAGTGATCTACGTAAGCCACACATCAAAAGTGTTATGTTATATAACTCCAAACTGGATAACCCTGTTGTTTTGTAAGCAAGAAGTTCTCCAAATATTATACAATAGGGATTCCCTTTCCTGCGCCCCAAGGGAAGAAAAAAATTGAAATCGAAGCTTATTCGAAAGAATCTTTGACTTCAAGATGAACGATCTATTCGGTTTCAAGTTTTTCCACTGCTTCCTTATTATTCATACAGGGTTCCTCAAGGATTAGTTATTGGCCTGGTTCAAGAAAAATTGGTGGTGGATGAAATGAAACAGTTTGGTTATAATATCAGGGTGTAATGTATTTTCAATATGTACAATCGACAATCATATAAATATATATATACTCATTTAAAATAAAAAAACGATAATGCATATCATCTACAAACTGATGAGAAACATCTATATATGTATCCAATTCAAATGTTTTATACTAACCACAGTTCCAACCAGACTATGATACAAAGTCCATTTTCATGATGGACAATTATTATTTTCAATGAGAATAATTTGTTATGGAAATCAAGTGCTTTTTGAAAATTCACTGAAGGCTTTCTAATCCGAATTGCGTATATAGGAACTTGTTCGATACGATACGAATAGTGAAAATATTTGCAGTGGAACCATTAATAGAATAAAAAAGTGTCAACCTATACACATTTCATATTACAGGCTCTTCTGAAATGGTATAGTAGGCATTTCACCTACACCTGTTTTTCATTAGGCGATTTTGTAACATGTATGATATTATACAGGGTGGCTGTAAAAGGTTGAGACATGGCTCGGCTGTGGACTCCTGGGATAAAAACAAGTTGATTTAGGCCAACTTACCTATATCCAAAATCGTTCCGTTGAGTTGGTACAAGGGGTTGAAGTTGTTTTGGAAAAAAATAATTTTGCTCATAAAAAGAGTAGGCTGAGATCGATTTTCATATTTTTTCCATATCCCAACCTTTTACAGACACCTTGTATATTGAATGATGCCCAAGGTGACCATTTTGAATAATTTGAACAGAAAATTGTCTAGACAATTTTTTAAAATATAATAATGAAAGGTACTTCCTATACCGAAGTCCCACTGAAATTATATCAAATGAGTGGAATTGTATAATTTTGTTCATTTTGCAGTCTATTTTAAGAAAACATCTATTGCTGAAGATTTCATATCAAGAATATTCTCGAGATATTTATGAAATCAAGCGTGCATAGGTGAATAAGTTTGGTTCTCAGAAAATTAGATTTCTGACCATTTTTGAGCGTGACTAGCACAAAGAGCCTCCAACTGCAAATATATTCATCAACATCGAATATCTGCATGCGAAAAGCTCTCCAATTTATCTCTATATATCGACATTATCAACAAATCAATTGCCACTGAACATTTATAGTAAGTCCGTATATAATATAGCCTGCGCACTCACTTTTTTGTACATATTTTTTCGTAAAAGCAAATAAATATACATAACATTGCATCAAGTTCACTATAATCAAGTCAAAAATCAAGTGAGGTTCCACCGAACCCAGTGTCGACTTTGAAATCGTTCGAACCATACCATTTATACATGAATGAATATATCATTTTGAATTTTGGTTGATGAAAAAATCGAGTTGGCCACTGCCAGTGTATTGTGCTCAAAGATTCCTATCGATAGAGGTGTCACTTGCCATCTAGAGAACTAATTCTCTCGTTTTGCTTTCCGAGATCATCACCAGCTTGGCAGAACCTCACAAATTCCCCCCACGCACTATTCACAATTTCCCTCCCAGCTCAAGGGCGAGTATCACGTCAGCCTCTGCGAGGAGAACGACCTGTGCAGCAATGGCTCCCCAGGAGTGAGAAGCGCGATCCTCACTATAGTATAGACAGTGATGGAGTATGGAGACTCGTAAGGTGCTGGGGAGGAGTCACCTCGATCCTCAAGAGGCTACAGAGCTGCGGATTCAACTGGTGGCCCAGCTTCAGAGGCTTCGATCTTCGAGTTGTCCACCCTGAGGTCCAATGGGGGTGAATGGAAAACGTGTTTTGTGGAGAAGAGGTCGCCAGTATGTATTGTGCCTATCGATATCATTATCTGGAGAACTAATTCTCTCGTTTTTCTTTCCAAAATCAACACCAGCTTGGCAGAACCCCACGAATTCCCCCCACGCACTATTCACAACTTCCCTCCCAGCTCAAGGGCGAGTATCACGTCAGCCTCTGCGGAGAGAACGGCCTGTGCAGCAATGGTCCCCCGCCAGGACTGGGAGGCGCGATCCTGACAATCCCCCCGTGCGTATAGACCCCCGCGTGGAGACTCGTAAGGTGCTGGGGAGAAGTCACCTGGATCCTCAAGGGGCTACTCAGCTGCGGGTTCAACTGGTGGCCCAGCCTCAGAGGCAAGGGGGCTTCGATCTTCGAGTTGTCCATCCTGAGGTTCATGGGAGGCGAGTGCTGGAGCGAAGTCAAAGGTGGTGAGCGGGTTTTGTGAGGGATCTCTTTCTCGGGGTTGGAATCCACATCGATGGGGCTATCGTTGGTGCCCAGCCTGAGGTTGATGGCGGCGTACGGGGTGGCGTTATCGACGTTTATGGGCGACTCCGAGTTCCTACCCTTGGTCCTGTCCAGGCGGAAGTTGGGGGAAAAACTGGGGGGCGTGTGGGGCGCCCCCCCGAACCTGAATTGGGCAGGCATTGGGCCGGGAGAGTGCGCCCCGAATCTGAAGGAGGTGATGGGGTTGGGGGAGGATCGGCCGAAGTGGAGGGGACCGGGGGAGCTGATGGGGGGAGAGTGGGCGCCCAGGGAGATGTCCGAGTCGCTGTCCGAGGGGGTGGGACTCATGGGGGGTGGACGACCTGAGCCGCCGTGGTGGGCCAGTTGGGCAGCCAGTTGTTGCTGTTGCATTCTGAAACAAGGAGGGAAATTATTAGAGTTTTTACTATATACTGCCTGTAGATTAATCGAGGAGGTAGCACATTCATTATTCTAGATTTTTTTGGGATTTTTTTCTCCTCGTTTCTATAAAATGAGAATATGAATATTATTTCAATATATTCGTGTAGTAAGGACAAACCAGATGATTTGCCCCAAAATGTCACGTATATTGAAAAAATATCCATATATTCTCATTTCATAGAACCGAGGAGAAAAAATACCAAGAAAACTGTAATAATGAATTTTCACTAAGGTTGTGGAGGCATATATGGCCAGAGAGATTATATGGCTCGAATGAATATTTCAAGTAATTTGAAGAAAAAAACAGTTCAGCATCGCTGCTGTGTTCAGGTAGCTTGGTACCACTCCCCTCAAAGACCGCATCATGCACTCCAGTTCGGAAGACTAACTGATTCAGTTTGATGTAGACCGTGGAGCGTTAATAGTGTCATTAGTTAATTCTCGAACGAGAAGTTTTCACCATATTGTTCACATAGCACACATATCTGCGTGCGTACTCCACCACAAGTTAAGTAAACCATCATACCTGATGTTCCTATGAAATTATATGTTCAGTTCAAGTAGTTGATTGAGGGAAAATATGTTTTTTGTAACTACACGTCGGGTAATATGGCCCTCGGTATGAAAGGCCTATATGGCCCGGGCCATAAAATCTGCTTCTGGCCATACAACCCGCTATTAACCATAAAAACTGCTTTTGACCATAAAACACGCCTTCAGCTTTCAGCTATATGGCCCGTTTTCTCTTCAGAAGCCCACAAAAATAAGAAGCTTTTTTTGGGATCAAATTAACTCCATGCGAATTCTCAATGTATTGCTTCATTTAAATATATATCAATTTTTGTATGTTCATAATTTATCTGAGAATATTCCTTTTCAATGTTTCTAATGTTATAGTACTCAGGTATATATGAGATTTAACCGTGTGGATTCAGACTACCGAGGCATACAGTAGCCATGATGTAAATATACAATTTAAACATTATAATTGAGATATTGGCTGTATGAAAAGATGTGGGACACCCGGTATATGTGGTTCATTCGAGAATATTAACCTCAATAACAAAAATAAAAAATTATCTGTATCTACACAAAATCGATATTCCATACAAAACAAACACAATAAGGGCACAACATGGTCGATTCATTGATATACAAGCCACAGAACGGAATATTATCTTTGGCATCTCCAACACCTAAAGATGATGTGTTAAATCCCCACTCATCGTCTGTGACATGACAAGTCGCTGACAAGAGGACAAGGGGATACAAATGCTTTAAGCTTTGCCACGAAATTATTTTAAAACGCCGTTATACGCAGCAGCTGGACCGCATTCAGGAATATTCTTTCCCACTCATTTCCGAAATACTGATGCTCATCCTGAAATTCGTCTCAGAAATTAAAAAGAGTCCGTTGGAATAGTTGATCAAGTAGCAATGATCTACACCCATGACAACTGTCAATGACTTCCAATAACAATATCCATATCAAGTCAGGATTTGATCTAAAATGGATACCTAGTAGTTTGAGAAACTAAAAAATACGCTTTTATAGATAGTCAAACTGAAAAGAGGTAGAAAATAATAGTACATTATATACCTAGGATATACTGTGGTATTTTAAATCACTAAGACAAAAAGATTATAGCAAGGCTATAATTTGTCGAGGGATTTAAAAACACTTCAATAATAATAATAATAAAGCGTTCTTATAACCAATAATATGGCCATTCAATGAAAAAAACTACATACATAGAAAAAAAAACTGTTTGAAACTACAAAATTTTTGTGAATTCAACAAAATCTGAGTGTCATATATCCACGACGAAATATTTTGTCACCGCAACAAATGTTTTTTGTCAGTTTTCAATTCAAAATTCATTTGATGTAACTCATCAATGATTCAAATTAACATCACGAATTGGTTGAATAAACAAAGACTACTTTGTTCCTTTAATACAATATCTGCTCTTATAAACGATTCAGTTTGATTGAAATGATTATATCATTTCATTCAAGTGACAAAATTTTCAGTTTTCCAGAAAGTGAATATGTTGAAATAACAATATATATTCTTCGATCAACCAAATTGTATTTAGAATTGACAAAATATTTTGCTGAATAATATTTAAAAAACATCCAATAACTCAATTTCAATACTAAGAGAAATTAGAGATCAATTTCCTCAGTTGATTGTAGACTATTAGCTTGTATAAGCGTCATAAAAAATTCTAGGACAGTCTAATATAATTATATAAACGGATGTTTTAGGTAGGTATATGTACACCCCAATGGAGGCGAGCGTATAGGAAGGTTGGAAGAAAAGCCACCTGGTGTAATTTTGTCGAATAGAAAGAAACCTTTGATTGGTTGCACAATGAAATGATTGTTGAATCAACAAAATATAATGTTGTACTTAGTGAAATCTTCGCCAAAATTAATTTAATTTTGTCGAATAGACAAAATGCATTTGATTGATTGAACAATGAGATAATAGTTGGATCAACAAAATTTGTTTCATTTCAACAATAAATGTTGTTGAATGAAATGAAACTTCTGTTCAAGTAAGCAAATATTTCAATCAAATTATTTTGTCTCTTTGAATAGGTTTCTTATTTGGAATGAACATATATCTTGTTGATTTCGCAAAATTGTGTTTGATTTAACAAAAAAAAAAAGACCAAAATGTTGGTTGGTGCAACAAAACTTTTTTTTCCGTGTTCAAGTCAAGTTCTAATACAGGAAAATGTTTCTAGGTCAACCAAAAATCAATAAAACTATAGAAGTTGAGGTTCACCATTTCGAAAACTCAAGTAAACCGTTTTCCACACACTTCTTCACATAGTAACTTTAATGAAAATCATCTTGATTGATAAAGAGCTGTCGAATATATATATAGAATGACAGACAAACCCTCTCCAAGGACTGCAAGGAGATATACTGATACTTAATGTGATCATAATATACCGATTTTGGCGAAATGAAAGGGAAATTTAATATTTTCATGTAAAAACTTCACAAACGATAGGATTACCACAGAATTTTCAAACACACGACAAGTTTCGCTAACACAATAGCTTCGTCAGGTGATATACTGGTACTCATTCATTGTACCAGTATATCACCTGACGGAGCTACTATTACATATTATCGAAACTGTGACCAGTGTGACCCAAACTAAATTTATTCATGTACCTGTATGCAAATCAAATGAAGAAATAAATTCAAATATTATTTGATTTCCAAACACAATCTGGTTTGAAAATTTCTTACCGGATACCATATACGCGATCAAATTACTTTCCGGGAATTTTACCTCTAGTGGTATTACCTACAAGTGAAAATCGGTCGCCGGGTTCGAAATCATACGAGGGTGTTGCGGGTAGAAAACGCACACACTGTATATGGATAAATTTCATTTTTCAACAATCTCTCTAAATTTCCATTTCAGAGTTTTATTTTTGGCTGGCCCAAAACCTCATTGGATCCTGACCTGTCCTGAACCTAGTACAGGGTGGGCAAAATTGGGCGTTTTCACCGTCTATCTCAATAACTAGAGGAGTTATCGAAAAACCGAAATACATGTTCCGGGTTCGATTTTGAAGAAACCTCGAATGGTACAATCAAAATTTCGATATCTTCATTCGTTTTAGAGATACAGGGGGAAAGTGAAAATTTGCCGATTTCGATTTTATTTTCTGACTACTTTACGGTGAGAGGTATCAAAAAATTTCGAACGTATATTTATACAGTATGATGCGTGGAATCCATTGGCATCACCAGAAATTTTATACAGGGTGACGTTGAGAAGATACGGCAGCCAATTATGTTTTTTCTAATGGAACACCCCGTATATTTTGGCACAGTTGAATAGTCCCAGGCGTTCTCATTACAAATATATATATAACCCTACCTTTTCCTTTCACGATTTCAGATATATTCGCAAAAATATATTCAGTGTGTCACATTTCTTATGGTTACACCCCCGTATCTTCTGTAAAAATAATTGATGGAAACATTAACAATCTTAATATTTTGTGGCAGAATGCCTGAATATGATACTTCACCCATTATTTCTAGTATGCCTTAATATTTTCGCGTTCGAAGAGATAATAAATAAGATATATATTTGAAATTGAAACGGGAACTTTGAACAATGATATCAAATCGAATAATTTCCCATTTCATTTCTAACCAAATATCCATTTATCTGGAAATTACATTCCCTATGATATTTATTTTCCACATTTGGTGAATATATACAGAGTGTCATTTTCAACCTCGATTCTGCCTGTTGATAGCATTATCCAGAAATATCGATGATTCCATAGCTGCTGGCGAGCAGTGTTATCATTGGAGATGATCCCACTTGGTCCATGACTCCATAAGTGTATCATATGTATATTTCTGACAGTTGCGAATTTTTGAATCCTACCTCAAATATTTTTACAGAAGATACGGGGGTGTATCCATAGGAAATGTGACACACTGAATATATTTTTGCGAATATATCTGGAACTGTGGAAGGAAAAGGTAGGGTTATATATATATTTGTAATGAGAACGCCTGGGACTATTCAACTGTGCCAAAATATACGGGGTGTTCCATTAGAAAAAACATAATTGGCCGCCGTATCTTTTCAACGTCACCCTGTATAAAATTTCTGATGATGCCAATGGATTACACGCATCATACTGTATAAATATACTCTCGAAATTTTTTGATACCTCTCACCGTAAAGTAGTCAGAAAATAAAATCGAAATCGGCAAATTTTCAATTTCCCCCTGTATCTCTAAAACGAATGAAGATCTCGAAATTTTGATTGTGCCATTCGAGGTTTCTCCAAAATCGAACCCGGAACATGTATATTGGTTTTTCGATAAGTCCTCTAGTTATTGAGATAGACGGTGAAAACGCCCAATTTTGCCCACCCTGTACATCTGAGAAAT